GGGGACAGAGACCCAGGGAGAGGGGGACAGAGACCCAGGGAGAGGGGGACAGAGACCCAGGGAGAGGGGACAGGAGTGGGGAGGGGGACACTGGCAGGGTGGGCGGGGCACACAGATGCAAAAGGGGTGGGGTCCACTGACCAGAGTAGGCAACAGAGACAAAGCCGGGGACGACAGTCAGAGTGAGGGGGACACAGTCCGAGATACGGAGGGGACGGCGTCCTGTGGAGGGGGTAAGGACCGTGAGGAAGCAAGGGACAGAAGCGGGTGACCCAGAGAGCAAGGGCAATCGTAACAGCTGAGGAGTGGGCCACGCTGACCCAGGCAGCAGGGCCACACCTCACGGTCACGTGCCTGCTCTCGGATGGGGACAGCTGGGCCTCGGTAACCTGAGCCCCTGCACCCTGCTCCCGGCTGTATTAATAGCCCTGGCCTGGCCAGGTCCCACTCCAGACCTGAGTCCCAGGGACAGGAGGTCATGAGCATGTGCGCTGGGGGCAGGGCCTCCATGCTGGCGTATGCTCTCTCGCCAGTGTCCCACTCTGCCTGGAAGGTCCCTGCAATGCCCCTCGGCCCTGCCCTTGCAGGGGTCTCTCCCCTGTGTGCCCCCCAGGGGCCTTGGGCTCCCCCAGCTCAACCTATTGAAAGTCCAGCTCTTGTCCCTGAAGCTGCCAAACATGAGCCCACTGGTGGCCCAAAGTCAAGTCCCTCTGTGCCCGTGCCCGGCGGGGAGAGACCCTCATCCCGCCCTCCCCAGCAGAGAGGGGAGGGAGGCGGGAGTGGCCCAGAATAACTCAGGGCTGAGAGTAAATTTAGCCACACCGAGGGGCGGGGAGAGACCCTATTGGCCAGGGAATGGGGAGGGAGGGCCCCAGAGGGGTCAGGGGCTCCGAGACAGCCTCAGAGGGGTGTCAGGGCCAGCGGAGGGCGGACAGGCAGTGACCGAGGGCAACAAGGTGCAGGGAAGACGCAGACAGCCAGACTCGTCAGGGCTAAGATCCCCAGCACTCAGCACAGAGCCACAGAGGTAGCTGGAGCCAGCCCTGGGAGACGCCCTGGTGCCAAACGTCCCCATGGGCCACCGTGGGCCATGGCCACAAGCTTTTCTCCTGTGGGCCGCCGTGGCCAGCCTGCTCCTCCCTGCCGCCGTGACCCAGCAGCTGAGAGGGGCTAGGCTGGCCCACAGCAACTGGAACAACAATGCGGGCGTCCCCGAGCCCTCGGAGGACATGTCAGCCGAGTTTGGCCACCACGTCCACGGCCACGGGGGCCGTGAAGATGAGCACGAGGACATTTCCGCGGAAAATGGACATCATTCCCAGAGACTGTGGCGAGACCACGGGGATGGCGGAGATGAGGACGAAGACACCTCGAGGGAACTGCACCACCACCACCACGAAGGCCACAGGTACCGAGGCCACAAGGCGGGAAATGACAACGGCTCGGAGGAGGTCTTCGCAGAGCAGGCCCACGGGCACAGAGGCCAGGCCTTCGAAGACACTGGGGACTCAGCTGAGCCCGGGAACCACTTCCCCGGCCACAGGAACCCCAGTCATGACGAAGAGGACGAGGACGATGAGCCGTCCATGGAGCATCACCCACACCTCCCCAGGCATGCACACAGAGGCCACAGAGGGGAAGACGATGGTGAAGGAGAGGAGGAGGAAGAGAGGGAGCAGGAGGCGTCCTCTGAGGACAGGCACCGGGCCCACAGGCACCGAGGCCACAAAGAAGAGGAAGACCATGATGGCGATGATGATGATGATGTCTCGACCGAGTATGGACACCACGTCCACAGGCACCGAGGCCACGAGAACGAAGAGGATGAGGATGTCTCCGATGAACACCTGCATCCTGTCCCCAGCCACAGACACCGAGGCCACAAAGAAGAGGAAGACAGTGATGATGATGATGAAGAGGACGTCTCCACTGAGTATGGACACCACGTCCACAGGCACCAAGGCCACAAAGAAGAGAGAGAAGAAGATGACAATGACCATGATGAAGAGGACGTCTCCACTGAGTATGGACACCACGTCCACAGACACCGAGGCCACAAAGAAGAGGAAGACAGTGATGATGATGATGAAGAGGACGTCTCCACTGAGTATGGACACCATGTCCACAGGCACCGAGGCCACAAAGAGGAAGAGGAGGAGACCTCAGATGAACACCACCATCACATCCCTGACCAAGGCCACAGGCTCAGGGAAGAGGGAGAGGAGGATGTGTCCACTGAACACTGGCACCAGCCTCCCAGACATGCCCACCATGGCCCCGAAGCTGAGAAGGAGGCAGAGGAGGAAGAGGAGATCGCAGTCAAGTTCAGCAGCCATGTTGCAAGCCATCGACCCCAAGGCCACAAGAGCCACGAGGAGGAAGATTCCACAGAGAAGGACAAAACAGAAGTCCCTGGTCATCACCACCATGCGGTCTCCAGGGAGAAAGATGAGGACACCTCTGCTGAGCTTGGCCCCCAGCCCCCCAGCCACAGGCAGCAGGACCATGAGGAGGAAGGGACTGTCCGTGGTCACAGAGGGTCCATCCTACCTGACATCGGCCACCAGCCCCCAGAGCACACAGGGGTCAGGGATAAAAGCCATTTGAGGGAGGGTGATTCTGGAGAGGAGGAAGAGAAGAAAGACGACCACAGCTCCCAAGAGGAAGATGATGAAGGCTCAGAGCAGGAGGAGGAAGGCGCCCACCATGGTGGTCTGGACCAGGAAGACGAAGAAGATGAGGATGAAGGTCATGGCCTCAGCATGAGTGAAGAGGAAGAGGAGGAAGATGAGGAGGAAGAAGAAAAGAGGAAAGCAGAGAGGGCTGAGATTCAGGCCTCACTGAGCCACGGTGACAAGGAAGAGGAGGAGGAGGAAGAGGAAGAGGAAGAGGAGGAGGACGAGATCCCGCTCATCGTCATCCCCAACCCCCTGGCTGGGAGGGAAGTGGCTGACGGTGGCTCCAGTGAGGAGAGCGGTGAGGATGCAGGTAGGAGGCCCGGCCCGGTGGGGGTGGGGAGGAGCGGAAGTAGCCTGGGTCACTGCTGCCCTCCTGTCCCCACAGGTCCGAAGGATGCCCAGGAGTACGGGAACTACCAGCCAGGGTCCCTGTGTGGCTACTGCACCTTCTGCAATGTATGTCCCCAGCTTGGATCTGCCCACCAAGCTGTCCCTGAGGACTTGGCCCAGAGGCCCTCTGAGCATGCGCAAGGGAGTAACAGGGACAGGTCTGAGTGAAAAGGACACATATGGGGCCCACTGGAGGCCAGGAGGCTGGGGTGCTGATGCGGGGAGACGGGAGCTGAACAGCACTGGGGGAGTAGAGACACAGCCGGGCCTGGGTAAAGAGGTGAGGTCAGGAGGGACAGGGCTGGAGACTGACAGGCAGGGGCCTCCATGGGTCACTTGGGTCGCCCTGAGACGGGGAGCCGGGGGTCAGGGGTGCCAATGCGAGGGAAGATACTCGGCAGTGGCCGGGTGAGGAGTCGGGAAAGGTCTAGGAGGCGGTGTTAGGGTTTCCATCTAACCAGCTCCTCGTCCCCAGCGATGCACCGAATGTGAGAACTGTCACTGCGACGAGGAGAACATGGGAGAACACTGCGACCAGTGCCAGGTGGGGCCTCTCCCCAGGTCCGAGGCTCCACCAGGCCTCAGGATGGCCCGGAACCAGCCCTAAATCCTGGACCCTGACCCCACACTAACCCAGCCCCTAACCCCTAATGCGCCCTTGGCTCCGCACCCCTTCCGACTCCGTGCTTCACCTCCACCTGCACCCCAGGCCTGACTCTGCCCTGACCAGGCTCTTTCTCGGTCCCGCCCTTAGCACTGCCAGTTCTGCTACCTCTGCCCGCTGGTCTGCGAGACAGTCTGCTCTCCAGGTGAGCACTGGGCGGGAAAGCCCCGAGCCAGGAGTTCTGGCGCCCAAGGTGAACCCCGGTGAGGGGCGGAACAAAACCGAGGGCCAGTCCGCAAGGCTGGTGGGGGAGGGGCTAGCAGGGGGCGTGGTCAAGGCGGAAGTATGTGGGCGGGGCGGGGCCAGAGGCCAACGCCCAGGTTGAGTGAAGGTTGAGGGGCGGGCCTCGAGGCGATTGGGCGGGGCCAAAGCAACAAGCGTTGGAAGGTGCGGGACCACTAGAGAACGGGACCCTGCTTAGCAAGAAGGGGCGCAGCCTTCAAAGGAGCCCCCTCGGGAGCTCAGTTTGGCAGAATTAGGAAGAGGGTGAGGGGCTAGCCCCTCACCGTGTCCCTTTAATGTCGCTTGAGGAATGCCCCTCGAGCCTCCTCTCTCTGCTCCCCCACAGGAAGCTACGTCGACTATTTCTCCTCCTCCCTGTATCAGTAAGTGTGCGTGGGGTGGGAGCACTTCAAGGGCCGGTTTAGAGAAGCGCTGTCCCGCTATGAGTTACGGGGGGATCCTGGGCCTCCCATGTCCTCCTCCGTGAAAGGGGCTGGGCAATCATCTCTAAGCGTCCTGGGGCGACACTTGGGCTATGTAACCTCTGCGTCCTGCTCTCCAGGGCCCTGGCAGGCATGCTGGAGACCCCGGAACCCTGATCTGGCCCTTGGCTGCGGCAGATGTCCCTACCCCTGCCTTCTGACCCCTTACCAAGCGCCATATTTATTTCTCTAAATAAACGTGCTCCCCGAAATTTGTCAGGCAGGGGCCGATTCTCCGGGCATCAGGGGATGGGGAAGGGGGCGCTGGGAACCTGACTCGTACGCCCCAGGGAGGAGGTGGGGCGGGGGCATAAGGGGCCTGGGCTCCTAGGTCCCGGAGGAGGTGCTTTGCTTTCGAAGGGTCCTGGCCAAAAAAATCAGTTGACACGGAAGCTTTTTGAAACAGTTCTCTTTACCCGTGATCACTGAGTGACGCCTAGGGCCGGGAGGCCGACCGAGAGCCGGGGGCGAAGGGTTCCCCCGTCGTCCGCCCTCCTCCCACACCACGTCGCTCAGTGGCATCGTGGAAAGAGGATTCTCCCATGCAAACCCCGGAGCCGGAGGGGACCGGGGGCGCGCAGCTGCGCCCCTTGCCCCTGGGGCACGGACATGGCCACAGCACGGGGGGCGGGGAGGCCCCGGGGACACGAGACACGGGGGAGGGACAGGGGACCCCGCCCGCAAATGACCCCGGGGACAGGGCACCGGATTCGGCCGGGCGGGGCCGAGTGGCACAGGGGGCGAGGCTTGTAGCAGCGAGTCCCCCCTCCCCTCCTTTCGGACGAAGAAGGAAGACTTGGGGCCCGCGACTGGGCAGGAGAAAGGGAGAGCAGCCTTTCCCCGCATGCGGCCCGGGAGGGAACCCCCGCCCCCTTTCCGCGGGTGGCGGGCACCCGTCTCCCGTCGGAAACTGATCAATAAATTACAAAGTAGAGAAAAGGGAGGCGGAAGTTTGGAGCGGGATTTCTCCCTTCCCTCTCCTGTCCCCCGCTTAGTCCAGTCCATGTGGTTTGGTCCAGGCCCAGACCACTGGGGAGGCGGGGACGCGCGCGTGCCCTGTCTGTACAGATGGTGCAGTCCGCGGCTAGAGCTCCGGGCCGGCTCTCCCCGGCGAGACCAGACTGTGGACAGCAGGGGGACCGTCCCAGACTCTGGGCGAGTCCTCCATCCGAGTGAGGTCACCTGCAGAGACAAGGGGCAGTGCAGAGCGCGGTGAGGACCCCTGTGCCGCCCTGCGCCCCAGGCCCCCCAGTACGGTCCTCATCCTCACCTGGAGGCTGACACTAGCAGGAATAGGTCCGGACGGAAACGCCGTCTGCCCGGGAGCTCCCAGAAGTCTGTCCTGGAGGGGAAACGCGCAGGGGTTCAGCAAGGAGCGCTCCCGCCCACACCCCATTTTCCCCTCAGGGTTGCTGTGAGCTCGTCCTCGGCCCCAGGAACCTCCTCCCCCTTGCGCTTCCCCTCCCGTTTTCACAGTTCCACATCGAGTTTCCTTCCTCCCTTCCCCGCAGCCTGGGACTCAATCAAGGTGGCTTTAGGTGGATTCATTTGGGGTGTAGGGTTCATCCACCCCAAGGAGAGTCCGGAATATTGGTGCGGTGCATTTGTCAGGGGAACCTGGAAGGTAGAGTTGGTCCATTTCCCGCTCTGAAGAATGGGGAGGGGCCGTCGCGTTTGGGGACCCTCCTCCGCCATCCCCCGCCACGCACCTTCCGGCTGCAACTTTCGCAGAGGGAGCCCCGGCGACCCCAGGGCTCCTGCTGCAGCTGAACGAAAGTTAGGGGGCAACATCTCAGCCGAGTCGGGGGTTACTCCTCGGAGGTCCTTCTCCCGAAACATCTTCCGCCAGGATGGGGAGCGGCTGAAGGACTTGGCGCTGTCCTAGGTAGAGGAGCCGGCAGAGGGTGAAGGTCCCAAGTCCCGCTCACCCTTCGTCCGTTCCCTTGACTCCGCCCCTCTCCAGTTCGCTCTTCTTCCTTAACCCCGCCCCTACCCTCCCCAGCCTCCAATCAGCACACGTCCGTAAAGCCAAGCCCCACCTCCCTTAGCCCGGATTACGGAAGTGCTGCTAGGAGCTGGCCTGAGTTGCTGCAGCGCCCACCTCGTCTAGCCGTCTGTCTGTGCCTAAGGAGATGAGGTTGCTGAATTCCTTCTCCAGTAGTTGCCGGGCCTGGAGAAGGAGGCAGGGGAGAGATTGGAGAGTGCAGTCTGCTCTGGGAGAACCAGGGCTGCTCCAGGCCCAGTGGCCACTCACCTGCGCGTTTTGCGTGGGGATCTGTAGGAGCAAGGCCAGGTCGGAGTAGTCGAAGGTCTCATCCAGGGCAAGCAGCGCCCCGTGCACCCCGCTTTCCGTGAGGTTTGTGGCGAATTCCTTCAGGCCCAGCCCAGACACCCAACCCATGACTCGCTCATTGGACCACACCATCACGTCTGGGAATGGAAGGGACACTCAGCCGCGCTCCCCCCAGTGCCCAGGCCTTCTTCCCTGGCCGCTGTTTCCCACTCATCTCTCTTTCACCCCTGCACCTGGCCCACCGTCTTCTCACCTCGGATCTGGGTCTGGCTCTCTTCCCGCCTCCGCTCCAGGTCCTTCCGGTCATAGTTGAGCCGTTTCAGGCACATGATCCCGTAATGTAGACTCACCCTGAGCAACAAGAGAACGGGGATTACAGAGGAGCCTCTGCAGCCCTTCCTGTGGGCCCTCCCCATTGGCTGTGCTACTCCAAACAGGTCGGAGAGCTCCAAGGATCAGCCGCAATGCTTGTAGACCTTCCCAGGAGGCGGGGCACTTTCAACATACAGCTCCTACTGGTAACCCGGCCCGGGGGTTATCAGCTAAGCTGTCTCCGGGTCTGAGCTTTTCCTATGGGCCATCTTGATGCATAGTGCGCCGGGTCTGGATTTTTTTTTTTAATCCGGGAATCGCGCTTGCCAGGCAGGCACTGCGCCCCAATCTGGATTTCTTGACAAACCCAAGCTGAAGGGCCAAAGATAATCCTAGGGATTTCCCATAACCAGCCCCACCGGCCAGAGACTCTCTAAGGACGAGCCCCCCTCCCCGTGCCCACACGCCAAGCAGCCCCACCTGTGGAAGCTGTCCACCATCTTGAGCTGACCCCGGAGCTCCTTCTTGTTAAGGTGATCTAACATTCGGGCATCCACCAACGACTCCATGAAGTAGCTGCGGTACTGGGGTAGCCCCAGGCTGGGCAGCCAGTCGTTTCCCACCCATTCGTGGTTCATGTCGCCATATGCCAGGATCTGGGACCGTGGGGGGTGGAGGAGGTCAGCTTCTCTGGACCGGTGTGTGTAGGAAAGGGGTACAGGCCAATCCCCAACCCAAGATCATCCTTCCCCCGCCCCAGGGCAGGACAGTGACCAATCCCTGCTTCACACAAGGGACCAATCCAAAGATGTCTTCTAAGGGCTGGGGATATAGCTCAGCAGCACAAGCGCCTGCCTGGCAAGTGCAAAGTCCTCAGTTCGATTCCCAGTACCCCCCAAAAAAAAGACAAGGAAAAAAAAGATGTCTTCTGCACCTTCCCAATGACAGAATGGACTCAGTGTGGTCTTGGGACCCTCAACATCACCGTCATGCATGTAACTGGCAGAACCCAGACCCACACTAAGCCTACTGAAGTCAGTATGTACATTTTCACAACCAGACCCTGAACTATGCGTTAAATTCTGAGAAGCATCGGTCTAACTAACTGTATCCCAACTCAGTCCGACGTCACTATTCTCCCAAGGCAGGTGCATGGATTCTTCCAGCGTGGCTCCCCCCTAACAGACTTCTTCACTCTCACAGTATATTGAAGATAGTTGTCTAATGCTGCGCCTGACCCTGGACCAAGACCTGGGTCAGCCCGTAGTCTTTCACACCTGTTAGCATAACCCACATTCCCCTGGCTGGAAACCAAGACCATGGCCCAACATGGCTCCTCCCCCACGGCAGTCATTTCTCTCCTTTCTTGAGAACAAAGCGTAGCTCCTCACCCCAGTTCTAACTTTGCCTGGTCTGCCTCACCACCACCATAACCAATTCTCCTCCTGGACTCAAGTGACACTGGAACCGGGCAGCAAGCCCCTTCCCCTCAACCCTAGGGAAAGCAGGCGGCTAGCACTGCCCTCCAGTCGCAGGAAAGGAGCAGCCCCTGGGGGCCCAGCAACCCTGCAAAGGCACGGCCAGAACAGGCTGCCTTCCACTCGCCGCCTACCATGCTGCAAATGAACCGACCCAGAGCTGAGCTCGGCGATGCGCCCCCCGCACTGCGGGACGATGGGACCGTCCGGGAGAGGGGCGGGGCTCAGAGCGAAGGGGCGAACATGCAGCGTGCGCAACCTGTTCATGCGCCCACCCCACCCCGCGCCCCTACCTGCTCCCAGCTGATCTCCTTGGTCTCCTGACCCGTTAGTGGGAAGAGGGGAGAAAAGGGGTGGGTTAAGGGGCAGGCAGAGGAGGACGGAAGGGACAGACAGACGGACGGCCACAGACTCGGTCCCCGCCCCCGCCCCCAGGAGGGTTGGTGCCATCTCCTCGGCCGCCGGCAGGGGACACTCACGGGCTTCGTCGCGGCTGTCAGGGATTCCATCTCCTCGTGTGTCATCCACACATTTCCTGTGGGCTGAGGAGCGGGGGACGTCAGGGGACAGAGCGGACTTCAGGTGGGGGCAGGGGATAGGGTTGGACGTCGAGGCCCCTGGTACAAACGTTTCTGCGTAGCCTGCTGTCTGCCAAGGGATCCGCGGGGACTAATCCCTTACTGAGCACCTCCGTGGACCAGGCTGTGTGGCCTGCGCTGTGTGCTGCGCAGGTGACATCGCCACTCTGACCGTACGCAGAATTGAGCAGGAGGCGCAGGCACAGCAGGGCTGGGGCTTGCTCACACTGATTCGCTGCTGCCTGCAACCCCACCAGTTAGGAATTCTTACTTGGACCCAAACGTTTGTGTGGGCCCTGGTGTCAGACACCGTCAGGGGCCTGGGATATGGCAAGGAACTCAACAGGCAGGAGCTCTGTCACTGAGTAAACACGATGACCAGGTTATAAATATGGCCGGGTTTGATGGCACATGGCAGTGATCCCAGCACTGTGGGAGGCTGAGGCAGGAGGATCACAAGTTCAAACCCAGACCAAGCAAGACAGTGATAGCCTGTCTCAAACATAAAATGCAATTTTAAAAGGACTGGGGATGTAGCTCAGTGTGCAGGCCCCCGTTCAATCCCCAGTACTGCAAACAACCCACCCTTAGGTGTGATAAAGGCCATGGTGGCTACAAAGGGGAAGACGCTAGTGAAGTAGTCAGGGATTGACCTGTTGGGATGGCCTCGAAGGACATCCAGGCACCCCAGACAGACACACCCGCGTGGAAACAGTAAGTACGGCAAAGGGTTAACGACTGCTGGGTTAGGCTTAACTACTGTACAGCCGAAACCTCTATCAGTAAAAAGTTGGAAGGAAAGGAGAAAATGACTAGAGGGCAGGAGAGGCGATGGCAAGAATGAGCCGTATTGCTGTGCTGGGTGGAGCCACAGGTCAGGTGTGGACCCAAAGAAGGTCTCCGAGAGGAGGCGACGTCTGCGCTAACACCTCAAGACGACAAAGGGTCAGTCTTGGGGAAAACAAGCAAAGGGAGTAGCAGGTGCCAGGAAGCAAAGTGAGTCGGGGAAGGAGGTGGCAGGGGCCCTCTGAGCAAGACCGGGCTCGACGCGTGCGCTGGGCCTAGAGGCGAGGAGGCCCAGCAATCTGTTGCAATGACAGCTAATGGGAGCGGAGTCTGGAGGGAGCAGGCCCAGGATTGGCTACTCCGACATTAAGGGGCGGAGCCTGGCGTAGCGAGAGCCGGGATTGGCCTCTGGCCACTCACCGTGCGGGAGGAGGCGGGCGCCGACGGCGAGGTGAGCGAGACCATCTCCTGGATGGCGAGGCGCAGTTTGAGCCGGTGCAACGGATTGCTGATGCCGATCTCGCGCTGGATCTCCGTGTCCGACAAGTTGGCCATGATGGCACCGCTCTTGACGTTGGCCCGGCAGGCGGCCACATACCACGCGGGCATACCTACCCACAGCTGGAGCAGAGGGGGACAGGAGGGGCGGCCACGGCGGGAAGGGGGACGCAGAAAGCAGGGACACATGGGGAGGCCGGCGGGGGAGTGCGGCCGGGGGCCGCGGGAGAAGGGACAGATGGGACAGGCGGGGACGGGGAGCAGCGGGAAAGAGAGGGATGGAGACAGGAGGGGGATCCGGAGACACCCGGAAAGGCAGCGATTCAGTCAGAGCCAAGGAGAAACAAAATGCAGAAAAACAGACGGAGAGTCCCACAGACAGAGACACGGGAGGACACAAAGGGACATAGGAGAAACGGCAGCGCAAGGCGGATGGGACGGAGGGCAGAGGTGAAAGGGGAGAGAGAAGCTGTTTCCACTGACCGAAAGCCTGCGGCCCCGCCCCGCCTCCCCGGCGGCCCCGCCCTGGGCCGGGAGCAGGGCTCCGCCCCGGTACCTCCAGCCAGGAGACCACGGTGGGCCCGTCCCAAGCAGCGAAAGGCAGGCCCTGGCGACAGGCCTCCTCCAGGAGCTCGTGCCTGGGGAAGAGGGACAGGAGCCATCGGGCAGAGCCCCAGGCCCTTCGGACACAGCTCATCTCCACACATGCACGCAGACGCACACACACATTCATAAAAGTACTGCTTATGAATGTACACAGCATGGCAGAAGGTCACAATTACATGTGAACCGTTGTAAATCCAACTCCCCCACCCCTACCAACAGAAAAAAACACACACACACACACAAACTAGGTGTGGTGGTGCACTTCTGTAATCCCAGCACTCTAGAAGGCTGAGGCAGGAGGCTGGCAAGTTTAAACCCAGCCTGGACAATTTCATGGCTTAGAGGGACCCATTCTCCAAAAATAAAAAGGGGTTGGGGATATAGTTTAGAGTGAAGGTCCTGGGTTCAACCCTCAGTACCTCAAAAAAACAGGAAGGATAGAGAGGAAAAACTCCAGGAGTTTCCCTACAACCAAATTCAGAACCATGGACACCCAGTTCGGGCATCACTTCTGTCTTACCTATATCTACCACCACTATCATCTTGCATGCACACACACACACACATGCACACACACACACATACAGATACACACTCACTTCCGCTTGTTCCTCCGGTCCTTGTCTCCCGGGCCTGTGAGCTTGGCGAGCCCCAGAGGGTCGGTTGCCAGCGTCTCCTCCGAGGGTGTTCCAGCTGGGGGCAGGCAGGGAACAAAATTGGGAAAGTCTCAGTGAGGAGCTTCAGGCTTGGGTGGTGAGGAGGCCAGAGGCACAGGCTCTGAGGGAGGTGTGAGTGTGCCCACAGGGAGGGTAGGATAAAGCCAGAGAGGGACCAGTGTCACTTCCGGGCATGGAACTGGAGACACCCCCAAAATAGGCAGGAGGATGGCAAGTTGGAGCCCAGCCTGGGCAATTTAGAAAGACTCTGTCTCAAAATAAAAATTAAAAACAAATGGGACGGAGGATGTAACTTGGCATGCGGGTCCTGGGTTCAATTCTCAGTACACACACTGAAGAAAAAAGATAAAATCAATGCATTTGCCCACCCAGACCAGCCCCAGGCACCCTATCTGTCTCCCTCCTCTGTCTGCCTCTGAAGGTAGCTGGTCCCCGTGCTAAGTGAGTAACTAAATGAGTGAATATGCCCATGTACATCCAGCGACAGAAAAGACGGGAGCTGGGCCCAGACAGCCGGGCTGCCATTAGAGCACTCACCCAGAGAAGAGCTGTCCCGGCCTGGGGGTCCCATCCGCCCCTTCTCCTTCTTGCCAAAGAGGCGGCCTATGGATGACTTGATGCTCTTCTTTTTGGGGGCTTTGTGCAGGGAATCTGGGGTACCCTCACTGGGTGAACAGCAGAGAGTAAGGGTAGACTCCTTCTGGGGTGCCCCTGTCCTCCCAAGTCTTTGTTCCCCACCTCCCGCCTCAGCCTTCTAAACAAGCTTTTCCCCCGTTCCCAGCCCTTGTCCCCCCTGACCTTCCCCGTGAGGGTCCCCCGTCCTCCAGGGACCCTGCCTGCAGCGCCAAGGCCTGGGTCATTCTCTCAAGCCGGGCAGAACGAGGGGTGGGAGGTGGGGTGTCTCCTGGGATGGCCGGGCCCTCCCCTCTTGGAGCCCCGACTTCCTCCTTGGGGACGTGATTCTGGGGATGGAGAAATACAGACGCTGGATTAAGTCAGAGGGATCATATTGGGGGCTCTCCATTAACTGGGGTGTCTACAGGGGGGATCTGAGATGGCCCTGGTTTGGGGCACCATATGTGAGAGCAACCTTGATCAAGCTGGGTGTCGGGGCTCACATCTGTAATCCCAGCACTGGGAGACTGAGTCAAGAGGATTGTCGTGAGTTTGAGGCCAACCTGGGCTACACTGTGAGACCTTGTCTCAAAAAAAAAAAAAAAAAAAACCTCTGCTTTCTTG